GAGGAGGAACGGTGCAGAACCAGCGATATGGCAAATGAAATATGCGAAAGGCAGGCAGAAGCAGCCGGCTAAGAAATTGCCACGTTCCAGGACCCAGAAGAGAGGGCCTCGTTTTGGTGGCTGTAAGACTGGTGTGCCTTAGTTGGCGAGATGTACCCGGGAGGCGCTCGAAAGATGTGGAATCTTGCGAGTGTGACCGGTATGGACTGCGGAGCGAGGATGAAGAGGCGCCGGTGATGTCCGAGTGAGAACAACGACAGGACTGTTTCAATGAGCAAAGGTTGACAGGTTGAAATTCCGCAAAGGTCATGGAGATCTGCCTCGAAAAAGAGAGAAGAAGCTCTGGTGGGAATAAGCAAGCGGCGTGACCAGCAGGAGGCATAAGCTGGACTTCTTCAAGCAGGTACACTTTTGGACAAATAAAGCCAGGTAAGGTACCTGATACATGTGAGGCTGGCTCGTAGGCAAGGCAGGAACAGCTAGCATTTTGCATGGAAGGTGCCTTCCAAGCCGCCTTCCTGGTCGAAGCAGATGTGGAAGGAAGGACCTGGGAGGGCAGGGACATCAGTGGCCCTGGGTTCTTGCCAAGACTAGACGGTTCCGTGACATGGATGTGGGGCTGGGGAGAGCCTTCCACTTAGGTAGGTGGCACTGAAGCATCTCGTCTTGTTTCAACAAACCACGGCCCGTTCTGGCGAACGTGGCCAGAGGTCACCGAGATCAGGCGGTGCGCTTTCTAGTAATGAGGCCACCCTATCAAGTATCCTATTGATCAGGACGAGATATCGACAATGGAAGGTCAAGTCACACGCCGAAGACAAGACGCTAGTGCCGCCCGACAACGGTATGCTTAGGCTTTCGACCCGGACACTGGAGAATGCAAGCTTGATGTTCGGTACGTACCGTGGGCAGTTTTCCAGAACCCCACTACCCCAGGGCACGCTGCTCAAGCAGGCTTGATCCTTGTTCACTTCAACGCAGTACGGCTTCTCCGCCGACAAGATAAAGGAAGTCCGGGGATACGACTGATGATTTCCTCCCTAAAGCATGCCCTCGCTGACTTGAGCTCACCGCAATGATATTGGGTGGCTACTCACTGTTTGCCAGAAGAGATGGGTTGCTGCAAGGATTGGTGATCGCCACGGGGATAGGCAGTGTGGTAGGGTTCACTCAGTGCAGGGCTGATTCTGGATCAGGCGCGAACCTGTCCGTAAGCAGTAAGGCATGTTGCCGGAAGCCCGTGCTAGCTTGAAGCTCCGTAGCTCAGGGTGTTTGATGCATGTCCAACGTCGTCGAATTATGCCATTGGCAGACAGGAGAAAACGGATAGGCGGACACGCATTAAACGCATTTCAGCTCTGCATTCCATTGCATCAGTACCTTACGAATGGCACCGGGCTGTCGAGGGGCCATCACCAGTGCACTGTGTCGCCGACACTGCCCGCCTTCAAACGCTTCTCCTCGCCCCACCAAGGTGTGCCTCAATGGAAGCACCGAGGGCAGCTTCCCTCAACGATGTCCTATCGGCGGCAGAAGCGACCCTGAGAGGTGGATAATAACCATAGGTAGCTAAGGTAACTGCCAAATGGTGTTTTTTGAAGTTTGCTTCCGGCTTGTCCGTTGTTCCTTCCTTTGAATCATTTCTGTCACCGAACGTGAAAGAATGGCAGTCGTGAAGCGCCAGCAGCTTCCAGCCTACCTGCACTGCTGCCAGCCTAGGCAGACTTCCTGCACTTCATCTCATCTTGGCGCACTTTCCTCCCAACCCCAAATGCGATTTCGGGCCTTGGATCTTTCGTCCAAACACCCCCTCCGTTGTTTCCGCCGCCCAGCATCCCCGGTCGACATCATGGACGACCTCAAACAACTGGACCCGACCCTCCCGCATCATCGCGACAACCAAACACCCCCGGTCCCGAACAAGAAGCCCATTGAAGCTGACTCTGCTTCCATCCCGCTCGAGGGTATCAAACCTACCTACAGCTCAGCCCTCAAGAACCCGCCGTCCGTCGACACAGAGCCTCCGAGCCCATCTCTCAGCTCAGAGTCCGACGCCATGGGATTCACAAAGGTTGAGATGCCTGCCACCGTTCTCGAGAACGGAGGTCAGAGCAAGGGACCAAGACAAGCTCTGCCCAAAGGTCTCGTTGCCACTCGTTTTGCCAATGCCAACGTTCCTCCCCCTCAGCGCGCGCTGTCACCCCCGTCAACCACCACCTCGGCCTCCTTTCTCGAGTGCGAAGACTTGATCAACTTCGAAACTGACAATTCGCAATCTACAAGAGATACCTCGTCGCAGGAATCGGTTCTGCAAGCTCGGTGTGACGAGAACGTTCCTGCCTCGGCTTTGGAGCTGCGTTTGCACCGCGATATCGACGACCTACGCCAGAAGCTCAGGTCCTCGAAAGCTCAGGCAGAGATCGCCGAGGAAAGAGCAGACAGAATGGAGAAGAGGATTCAGGAGATCAAGAGCGTCAAGGCTCCCAAGCTCACGGACGCGGAGAGAGATATCAATTCGCTGTACTCAAGTGTCAATGAGCTCAAGACGGAGAACTCGGCCTTGAAAGAGCAGTTGAGGGACGCTCAGTCGCACATCTTCAGCCTGCAGCCTTATCGCAAGGAGCTGACGCCGGAGGAGGTTGGTCGCGTAGGTGAATCCCAACCCTTTCCGTAAACTCACCAGTCTGACACAATGGTAGCAATACGACGATCTCGTTGAGGGCATCACCGATTGGGTTGCCAAGTTCATGGCACCGCTTCTCGACAATCATGCCAAAGGCGTCGATGAACTCCTAACAAATTCGCGCAAGCGGCCGACAGAGGCGCACAAGCTGAAGCACGCAATCCAAACCCATGCGGATCTAGTCCACGGCACAATGTTCCCCGAAACAGATGAAGATGTGATCATTTCCATCATTATGAGATTCCTCAACGACAGCATTTTCCAAAAGATTCTGTACGGCTCCTGCGCATCATTTGTGGAGTCTCTCAGTTTCATAGAGATGGCGCTGCAGAACACTGTCGAGCCCAAGCGAGGTGAAAGATGTACCGATCTGATAACCATTCGTGTAGCTGACCAAGTCGCCAGATCTATTCGCCATTCGGACATGGACCGCGGAGGCCTACAATGCCATCGTGAGCTCTCGCGAGTTCAGAGGCGTGCGAGAGAAGAGGATGCGTGAGATGACGATTGAGCTTGCAGGCATTTTCAAAATTCTCTGCAAAAAGGACCAGCTCGACATATTCTACAAGAACTTTGAAGAGAACTGTGTCCGGCCTGCCATGCAACTCTACGAGAAGATTCAGATTTCGACCCACCACTTCTACTTTGACATCAATCCGTACATCCTGTGGGGATCCGAAGGCGAGTTCCAGACATCCACGGACTTTCTCGACAACGTATCAGACCTGGACTGCAAGAACATTCTGCAGAACCGCAAGGCGTTCAGCATGTCCAAGATGGACCCGCCTCCTTCCAAAAAGGAGCTCTACCACCGGCTACTTAACGTCTGCACGATCACCCCTGCACTCTACATGCGTCAGATCGGGCGCAAGGATTCTATCAGAGAGCCTCAGATTGTCCGGCGTCAGCAAATGTTGGTGGCATGGGGTCTCCAAGACAAGAAGGAGGCCTTCATTCGAGATGGGGATCAAACGCTACTCAACCACCTATACACTGCCAGGAACGAGCGCGAGAAGGCAGAGGCAGGTGGATGGGCGACTTTCCGTTGGCCAGGCTAGATGCATCGCAGAGAGTCATTCATGAAATTCGGAGTCCCATGATCACGGGATTGAGCTTCGATTTGAGGGCGTTTGCAGAAGGGAAGACATAAGGCTGGACATTTCCCATCGGTGTTGGTGCTTGAGATATACCCAGCGGAAGCCAATGGAGTAGCCATGGCCAGAGCCGAGGGTGCTCCTGACGAGGATTAGACGGACTCTTTCAAATAAAAATCGTGTCATCAGATAAGACCATTTTGCGCTGCTCTGTTTGCTCAGCTGGGCGTTTAGTGGAATGAAATGGAGCTGGTGGATGGTGGTCCAACGAAGACCGCTCTCGTTGTCAACCCACATCACCCTTCTATGCGATGTGCATGATGTATCGGTACTTTGGCTTGGTCGCTGGGTGTTCTAGACTCCAGCGACAACCCAATTGACATAACGTATGTATCTAATATGAATGCCACCTGGGCCAACCCTTACCTTAGTTACTCCAAAGTGTAAATTGTGCTTGTCACAGCCCCAGTTCAGGCTTTCCGGGGTTGTAAGGCCTTCCAGGCAAGGGGCGGGCGCTAGCAGATAAGCTACAGCGGATGGACACACCGAACGAACCCCTCACTGTGGCGCCCAGGTGGCGGGGTTCTCGTGGAAGGTGCCCGGTACCTGCGGAAGCCGCCTGAAAGGTAGGTCCCCCAAACGGGCAGGGGCAGGCACCTGCGACATCAGAACAGTGCGGAAGGCACGTCCAGTGCCACTTGCCAGGCCATGAACCACTTGGACTCAGAATTGGAACTGCTTTTACCGTCAAGGTTGCCCCAAACAGCTTCATCTGATGCCTTTTATGGTTCGTTTGCTATGCGCCCGCCGTCGTCTTTCAGCCACCAAAAGTTTCCGCTGCATCTCCTGAAGAGAACCTGCCTGCTGAAGAGGAGTCAGTTGACAGCCATCCTTGCAGACGCGCAACGGCCCGGCGTCTGCTAATCGCAAACTCCAACGGCCGTTGAATAAGGTAGGCAAGAAGAGCACACTTCGAACATCGCTAACCGCCTGGAATTACCCAGATTTACCTAACTGCTTGCCCCCTTACTTATCCGTCGTCCCTCCTTCAGACCAACCGTTGGCTTCAACACCATCCGAAAAAGACCACTAACAAGGTACTCTGCCTTGTGGCCCGTCTGCATCAACTACATGCTCGGACGGTGATGCAAGGTTGAGGGCCCGAGTGACGCCTTCAAGCATCGAGTAGGATCATCCCAGGAACCTGCTGCCACATTCCCACCATGTTTCCGTCACCGGCACAAATACTGCGCTATTCGTTCCAGCAGCATCCCGGCATCACAGACGATTCGTCGCGACAGAGAGTGTCCTCTACGTCGTTCAACGGGCCATTGCCCTCCAGGGGGGAGAGATCAGCCAATGGATTCGATCAAGGATCTCTCGAAGAGTTTCACGCATCTCGTCTGTTTCGAGAGCCAGTCTTGGCATCAACAGCTGCGGCGTCGACAGATTCCACGATAACTTCTCCCGCCGTAAATCTTCCACCTGGAGACTTCACCACCGACACAAACACCAGCGCACCTAGACGTCGAGGAGACGAAAACCCGCGAGCAACGAACAACAATCAGACTCGGCCAGTGGTTGCAGAAAGGGCGCCAGCCCCGAGCTATGTCCCTTACGTTGATTCTACTCCCGTGACGAGAATGTTTGCCACGCAAGACGCCGGGCTGCCGCCCAGCTACTACGCGCACCCGAACCCCTCTCACTTGGACAGCTTTGGCGAAGATGTCCTCGATCCGCCCCCTCTATACGACTGGGCAGTGATGATGGGGGACAGAGACCAGCAGGAGGAACAGCAGCCAACTCCACCACGGCAAGATGTCGACGACCAAGCAACGTCGTCGGTCATCGCCTCTGAAGTCTCGCAGAGAGCTTTCTCCTATGGTACCATTAGTGCTGACATCATGGCCGACTTCGACTTTCCTCAACCACCACCAAAGACGACGGCCGCGGTCAGGGACCTCACGGTAGCATCTTCGTCGTCTTCTACTCCTCAAAGAGGCTATCGACCGACAGCGGCATCCATTCTAGATGGCTTTGATCCTGCGCCTTTCTCTCCCCAAACAACCGGCGGCAGCAACAGCACCGCTGCAAGCACGCCCCCCATGATGTCTCCTCCCATTCGCCCCAGATCGGCCTCGCTTCTGGGAACAAACAACCCGTACATCGCCCTCCTCGAGCAGAAGGAGCAGGCGATGACGGTCGCTTTTCTGCGCACCCATGACGTCGCCACTGGATCCCGCTCGACAGATCTCGCTGCCGACGATTTCAGGTAAGCCTAGTCGTGGTTTATACTTCCATCCATCACCCCCTGCCCTGCCCTTTTGGCCAGAAAATGATGCGCTCCATGCCAGTTGAGGGGTGTCCAGTCTTGCTTGACGTTGCCGCTAACCCAGTACAGTTTCGGTCAGCGCTACCAGAGAGCCGCTGACACGACAGACGTCGTAGTTACGAGGCAAAGGCTACCAGCGAATGACCTGGGCGGATCAAGAGAGTGTCCTATATGCGCGGAGACTAGAGAGGCTTCGGATTTTCCGATCCTTAGCGTTACTTCGATGTGTACTCACCCACCAGAGGCATGCCTGGAATGTCTCCAGATGTCAATCAGATCAGACTTGAATAGCAAACTCTGGACCGAGATTCGATGCCCCGAGTGTCGAGAGCTCCTCGAATACGTCGACATTCAGAAGTACGCAGACGAGGAAACGTTCGCCCGGTAGGCCATGCCTGAGACACCCTGACGGAGCCAAACTGACGAGTCCATAGATATGAAGCCTTGGCTCTACGCGCAGCCATGGCTGAAGCTGAGAACTTCATCTGGTGCACTGCTAACTGCGGCTCCGGTCAGCTTCACGACACGGGCACCGAGCAGCCGATTGTTTCCTGCCTGCATTGCGGCCAGAGATCTTGCTTTACTCACAACGTCACGTGGCACGAGAACTTGACATGCGAGGAGTATGACTCGCTGCTTCGCGATCCCGAGAACTTTCGATCGAGGATTGAAATGGAGCACGAGCAGATGGATGCTGCAAAGCGTATCCAGGAAGACGCCGACCGCGCCATGGCTCAGGGTCTCATGGCTGAACAACAGGCAGAGATTCAAGAGCAGGAAGCACGAGAGCGAGCCGAGCGAGAGAGGGCATTAAGAGCCACGGCACTGGCACGAAAGGTCGCGGCCCGGCGCAAAGAAGAAGAGGACCAAAGCAAGGTCACTGTGAGTAGGACGACGAAGCCTTGCCCCGGTTGTGGGTGGGCGATAGAAAAGAACGCAGGATGGTAAGTGATCCCGTGCTTAACTAGAAGACACATGTTAACCCTTATACGCCAGTTCGCACATGACTTGTAAGTACACCTGATTCTTCTCTATGATCCTAGCACCCTTTTTCATCCTTCTTCACGCCAGCCCCTGAGGCGCCCTCCATACTGAAGCCAACAAAATTCGCAGGCATCAAGTGCCGCTTCCAGTTCTGCTGGGGATGCCACACCGTCTGGCAGCGCGGCCACAACGTCCGATGTCGTGGCTTTGCGACTGTTTGACGTGACGATGCGCCCCCAAGCACCAGAGACGGATAGAATAATGTCTAACCCGGATGACCTATTCCCAGGTTCACGCTGCAAGCATGAGTTCTGCTACGAGTGCGGGGCAGACCACAGGCGCATCTTGTTGGAGGATAACAGCATACACAGCCCGCACTGCCGGTTCCATCCGGACAACCTTGAGAATCTTGTTCCTGCGGGGGAGAGGGGGTCAAGAGCAGGAAGAAGGCCAGGCGAATCTAGGCGCGTCGGGAGGCGATGATATCTTGACGCATACAGTAATGTACTTTTATCACGCACAGCAAGACTGCTTTTTTTTATTTCATCTGAATTTGCGAACAGCGAGGGAGATTGACAGGACTCCATCGCCCGAATCCTTTTTCATCGGCAGCCCATGACATCCGGGCTGTGATTACAGTAGCTTTCATGTAGCCCCTAGCTCCAGATACAATACCTATTTTGAGCTAATTTTTGTTGACATGATGCTAATTGTATTCCCCACCTATCCATTCGTTTCTGTCGTCCCCTATCGTCTTCACCTAGTATCGTTCAGATCAGTTCAACTTTTTGTCCTCTCCCCAGCCCTCAACAATCACCGCCACACTTCCGTGGACTCCCCAGTCTATCGATATCCGCCACGATTACTAGCTGACACCGTCCCCCACGGTTCCCGGCATCCTTGTCGTTCCTGTCATTCCCTCTCTCCCCTCTCGTCTCCTCTCACACCTGTCGCCCCTTGTGGTATTTGCCTAAAATCGTCCAGATCTGCAGCTTGAGTGCCTAAGTACTTGACGATAGCTGCAAATCCAACTTCAACAGCCCTCAGTTCCCATTTCTCTTTTTCCTTCCAACCTTTCATGGATACATTCTGGCCTACTGGCCTACCGTCGCTGTGTGCCTCTGACATCAACGGCCGGGATGGACTGGGCTGGAGACGACCTATGCGGCCAAGCTATAGGGGTGTGTGTGCATTGAGGGCGAGAGTCACCTTGCATAGGCAGCTCCTCAACTCTCTCTCCTTACTCTCTTCTTTGTTTTTAACTTCACAGTTTACCACCCATAGGCACACGTGTTCAACTATTGTATAACTTTGACGGGGAAATATGCCAGGGCCAGAATGGCTCACAGAGAAAACCTCTGTGGCCACCTGTGGGGTATATAAAGATGGACACCATCATAGCGGGATGAGATGGATCTTTGATATTTAGTATTAGGTGTGAGTACCTTTGTTGTCTCCTTGGTCGCAGCATAAATCACAACTTCAACTTCAACGACCTTGAGTTCCTTTACATCGTCAATGTGTTGTGTCGAAAGCCTACAAATCTGGGCAATATAATGTGGTCACGTTTGACGTAACTTTGTTGGCCTCCACTGCCCCATCAACTCGGCTGTCTCTTGCTGTGTCGCCATGGATCACTAGTAGTAGGGGGGACGACATGGACGATGTGAACGATGGGGACGGTGCAGACTGGTACTCTTGGAGTTGAGGTGTCGACAGACTGAGGCTCGTTTGAGAACCAGGCACAACACGCAGCCTGTCAGAACCCTAAGGAGGGAGAAAGCAACGAAATAGCAGCTTGGTTATACATAGAAACCAGGTCCCGCACTTCTCTGAAGGAAGGCAGACAGATTTCAGCAATTCATCTTTTGACTCTGAAATGTGGTTGGCCTCTGTGAGCCTTTCTTTGTGTCACATACCTATTGGCATAGCCCATCTGCAAGAGAAATCCACGAGAGGGAACGCTCTGCGGAATCAGATGCCTTATTTTTCGTCCAATAGAGGAATTGAGACAGCCATTGCTGAGTGCCCTCTATCTGCAGACCGAGGCGAGGGCTTGTATAGAGTTATACAACCCAATTACGTTCAAGGTAACGGGATAGATAGTGGGCATTGCCGCAGGCCCTCACGGAGGGGTGGAAGATATTTTCGTTTGTTCGTCAGGGGATGGGCCCGGATTGCAGACGAAGCACAATTTGCTTTTTTGTGTCGGGATTCATCCGTGTTCCAGAAGAATGGCAAAAGGTTTGGCCCCTGTGCCATCCATGAAAAGACTCTGTGCCGAATCCATCCAGAGACTTTTTGAACCAGCACAACGCCATTCCGGCTTTTGTTCGACGACACCTTGAGTGCTTTCCCCCGCCCCCCAGAATTGCCGACGTCCAAATGCGGAGGGCCATCTCCACGGGGAGCTCGCCACGCTATTCGAGGCTTTTGGGGTGCATGTGGGACCATATAATGGCAAGGATGATGTTCTGGCCAAAGCCAATGGTTCATCTGATACTTTTGATATCCTGGGGTCAAGGAGACGAGAATATCCACATCTTCAATACACGTGCCGTAAGGTACACGCAGCCACCATGCATGGCCCGATCTGGGGAAGGCTCGGCGAAGATTCAGGTCTACCTAAAGTTTTCGGTAGTTCCAAAGACCAGGGGCCTGGCTGCCATTGCTGTTGATCTGGATCGCACCTTGTCGGCCACACTTCTGTCGGCACCACATCAATATTGAACGACGACGCTCCTCTAACATGTCAACATGATGCACAATATCAATATATCGAAAGTTCAAATTCACTAGACTTGTGATTCTTAGCTAGACCGGGTGCTTAGTAATTGTCTGACGACAAATGAAAAGGGACTACGCAGACTCCTCTTCTAATGCGAGTTTGATATCGGGTGACGCCCCTTTCGATAATGACCACGTGAAGGCAGGGAAGTTTGGGAATTGATAAAGTCGTTGGAAAAACCGCGCAAGATTTTGAACACGAGAAGACAAAAGATTTGTTGATCAACCATTCGCCACTCACGCCAGGTGCTCCTGCCAAACACTCTCCGGCTCCTCGTGGAGAATCCTCTTCTAAGTCGGTTCAGGCCAATCTTTTCAACCCCGTTTTTCGTCAGCCCCGATCTTCAGAACAGGAGAAAAGTCATGTCGGGTCTAGCCGTCCCATCCAATGTGCCGGGTCTATCAATCCCATTCAATGTGTCGGGTTTAACAACCCCGGCAACTGTGTGGCTCAACGCTGACCCCCCCACCGCCCAGCCCACCGGAGCCGTAGCATTAAGAACCACGTCGGGATGGCTAGAAACATTCAATGCCTGGTCGAGTCTCTTTAATTTCGTCAAGGGTCTTGGTGTCATCTTCGGCTGGTGGCCTGATGGTCAGCAAGAGAAACCGAAAACCCGGCCGCACTACACGCCGGGCGAAACGCCGGACGACGTGCCGATTTACACGAAGGTTAACTTCTGGATTGGTAATGATGGACCGCACCCGTTCGACCCCACTAAGCCGCCCATGATCAACGCTGGTGGCGACGCGCCAGATGTCCATTTGTTTGGCGACGGAGGAAATCACATCGGCTCCAGATACCGACCGGGGTTCTGCCCATCCGGCAGCATCCACTGCTACGCAGGGGTTGATACGGAGGGTTATGCTTCATACGTCCTTCTCAGCGGCAACAGGAACCCAACTTGTATTGCGCTCATGACTGTGGAGATACCAGGTGTTGAGAGGAAGTTTGGGTTCGCCCTGGGAAACTGGGCAGCACCTTGCGAGAAGATCTCCGGCAGGAGGAACCCATGGTTTGTTTACTTCCCCGATGTGTCTTTTCGTTGTTATGTTTTTCAGCTTTCTAAGAGTGAAACAGGTACTACGCCAACCAAGACTTACCCCTGAAGAGTGCTGTCAATGACGTGAGCAAATGCGTCTGGATCGGCAGAGGCAAGGATAATCAAAAGCCAAAATATCTCAGCGGAATGCAGCTTCGTATGAGAGAGTTCCGCTCCAACGAAGCCCCTATACGGAAAATGGATTACTACTGTCGTAACTACCCGGTCCTCAACTTTCGCACTGAGACGTATCCTCACGTAGTCCAGAAGTGGGCAATAGACCCTTTGTTGGCTGGAACGAAAGCCCCGACTGGCCCCTTTCTCGATCCACAGTGGGCAACTGAGACCGAAGACACGGAAGAGAGCGAAACCCTCGTCACGGAACCTCTCCCAACAGTTACTGCTATGGGGACTTTTGGCGACGCCGCCGTCAAGGAGAGAAACAGGAACCGCCACGCCCGCCTCGCCCGGAGATGGATCAGCTCACCGGACCTTGTGGAGCAGATCGCGATGGACCCCTCGGTCTACAAGAGCCACCAGCCCGGGCACCTGGCCAGCGAGCTCTGCGACCGGAACGCCGGCGCCGTGGGGCATTCGTTCGTCTCGTACGCGGAGAAGATGTTCTGCTACATGCCCACCAAGACGCTGTACAAGTTCTGCGAGGATATCGACGAGGGGGCCTGCTGGTCCGAGGACGACAACAAGGTGATCGTCAAGGCTTCGGGCGCGGGAATGATGACGCTCTCAGCCGCGGATATTCCTGATCTGCGCCACGCCCACAGCTCGATGAACATTATCTGGAAATAAGTGCGCGCTCAACGTGCGCCCGGCTGGGATGACAGGAGGGGCGGAAACGAAAGACCCCGGTGGTCGGAACTTTAGGGAGATTGCTGCGGTCGTTCATTTTGGTTGTTCCAAGTGTGTATTCGTCCTTGGAGAGGAAGCTATCTATTGTTTGTAAATGGGCAGAAAGAGGGGGATTAATATGGCGAGAAGGCTTGGGAAACACGGGATCGAGAGTTGTAATGTTTGTTTTGTATCGGAACTGATTTTTAGTGCACCATCTGTCAACTGTCACATGTTGAGGAGCTTGGCTTCTAGGTCAGCGGGAAACAAGAGCTTAATTCTGTTTTGCAACTAGATTTTCCTGTTGTTCTAGAAAGAGAAATTTCTCATTAATAAGTGTCAAGTTATTAAGATATGCTCTTCATTCTTTGACCCGAACAAGTCGACCAATCCTGTCCTCTGTGGCCGAAGGTGGCTGTTATCTGTATCTGCGGCTCTGGCGCGGCGTTTCGGACAATGCGACATGGCCGGCAGGTACCCGATCACTCCCGCGAAGGGTCAAGATTGTCGAAGCCAAGTGTGGGGATTTGCGAAAATCATTGCCGTCTTCGAGCGCAGATATGCAGGTCGCCCGTTGAACAGCTCACGCCGTGCCGGGTGGACCCGTCTTGGACACTTGAGACTCTTGGCAA